CATAGTATGACGTCTGTAGACTTGAAAAAAAGTGAAGCTGTAGCAACGTCACTATCATTTGTTTAATCGGAATATTAATAAAATACCGCCGCACTGTTATGCGAAATGTTCTGTTATGTGCGGCACTCGTGTCGCGACTCGAGGGACTTTTAAAATGCCACAGCAAAATGTCGAATTCGTGGGTGCATCCGGTGCACGATCAGACTGAGAGCCGCCGGAGAAATCGCCGAGAACGCATCGGCAGCATGCCTTTAAAATTATTGATCCTGGAGCATAAGTGACACAAGGATACGAGTTAGACGACGCGCGTATATTGTTGACGGGCGCGATCTACGGCTGTCGTTGATGCATACGTGCAATACATATTATTTCTATTACCGCAAATAATACCGGCGATCCCGTTTAGACGGCTAATGTATTGCAGTGTTGAGATTGGCGCGAGATGTAATTGCATAACTTTGCATATCGCGATTCCCTTCGCATGAACCTAACGTAGCGAATGTAATGTTCGCGCAGTTACGTATTTCAATCGCATTAAGCGCGAGATTTGGCTAACGAAGATGTGTATTTCGGTCCCGGGAGTAGGGAATTTATGTGAATAATACGAGCGAGCACGTGTGCCATTTTTCTGTCATTTAAGAAATACGGCGATAAAATTTGTAACTATATAGAATATCATCTTTCTACACGATTCGGATTCTGCATACGGAGTCCGTATCGTGTTTGTCACGAAATCGCGCGAGATCACACTGCAGACACATTTATAATAAATCAGACGTGTCACTGTCCGCAGCTGATTCTGTAAAAATAAAGCAAAATTGATACGCAACAGTCTCGCGGCTGCAAATATTTCCGATCTCATTTTTGACCTAGTTTGCTCGCATTTCGCGTGTGAAATTAATGGGGGGGAGTCTCCTCTCAATTAACATCCATATTTTCATCAAACCCGTTTAAACGTCACTTTTCTGATTCATAAAATCAATATGCAATTAGACGCGAGATATTTGTTGGCGATTGTCGCGCAAACATTTCCTTTCACCTGGAGAGCGAAAGAGTGGACGTACTTCTAACGAGAGTTTCGACAACGCTCTTGAATCATTCTTTTACAAACGGGATGCCGATTGTCATGCGAATAGAGGGGGATACAAATGACACTTGCAATTTTCACTTTTCACTGGCAATAAATTAATTATCACGAACGTTAAAATTATTTATGCATTATATGTGTATTTATCTGCGCGATAAACGGCGCAATAGACAAAAATTAAGAAGTACATGGCCGAAAGTCCATTCTTTTGAATTCTTCATTTTGATAAATAATTTTTGTACTGTTGTTTTGTAACAGTAGCCGACGTATCGCCGTCAATTCTATTTTATATATCGGGACTATCGTCGTATGACCATTATTATTATTAGAAAGATTTTGATTTATTATTTTCAATGTATTAAAAATCAAAGGAAAGATCCAGACACCACAATAGTTGCACGCCATTTGCGAAGACTAAATTAATTATTGTTGATTATCGACTCATATTTTCGCTTTTCAATGAAAAATGACGTCGGATACAGGCCATTAATTTTTCATTATATACTTGTGGTACTTGAACGTCGTTTCGATCATGATTTTCACGTAATTTTCGCGTGTTTAATGATCCGAATGCCAGGCTCGTACACGATGTGATGATCGACGACTCGCCGACGTCCTCGCAAGGAAGCGACGGAGAGGTCGGCAGATCCTGCGACGTCGGCACCGGCGACTCCGAGGACGAGGAAGTCGTCGTCATCCACCGGCACGACGTCCAAAGCGGGCACACCTCCCCCGATGACAGCGAGGAGCTGGATCATCATTGCTCGATCATAGCTGATAGCGATTTTAGGTTGGTAACGTCGTAAGTGTTGTGCTTATTTGTTACTAATTGTCTTTGTACGCTTTCAACATAATTTTTTCATGATCCTTAACGAAGGAGATTGAAGACTTTCACGTTTGATTGGTACTGACTTGTAACACTTTCAACGCCGCATTTTCACAGAAGATAATAAGAATTCGAGACAAAGGGGGCAAACAAAGATTTAAAGATTTAAAGCGATCTCGCGGGAGATAAAAGAGCGCGTACAGATTTTTGTTGTGGACAAAGGACGGAATACCCGCGACAATTTGAACTCGCGCCAAGAAAGAACAGGATTACATTGTTCGCGACGGGAATCCCTTGCGCAAAATATTGTTGCGATAAGCGTAGGGAGAATCATGTTGTGGCTATTATAATTTATCCCGCGTCTCGCTACAATTTCATATGCAATCGTACTTTAATTCGCGACGGTGTCACCCGCGTACACGAGCAGAGTGAGATATGACGTATCATCGCGCCCATAATAATCTACAGTAACGCCGTAATCTCATCAGTCTGACCTTGTTAAAAATAGCTGAGGCTTTCAGAAATAGTCACCGGGAGAGTTCGCGGCGTGCAGCGACGCTTGTAATTATTAATTAAGTGTCGCCCACCGCGGTGGTTGGAAACTGTGCGATGCACGCGGACGATGGTCGATGCGCATAGTATACTTTCTGAGCTCTTAATATTTTCCGACGGTTTTAAGCGGGTCTTCACACCCCTCCTATTACTGCGTCAATAACCTTTCCCGACTCCTCTATTTCACGCTGCAACTACGTACTAATTGTAAGAGAGTTTAGATCTTTTGATTATACTCTTCGCTAATGCAATGATTGTTATGACAAAGAATGTAGATTACACGTTGCATAAATGTGACTTTCATGCGATGACTCGTGTTGCACTAGCCGAATTTTATTGTTAACGTATATTCACTTCTCTTTCGCAGTAAACAATGTAATTGTTACATTAATTTGTGTTGCTGAGGTATATATATTTTTTAAACAACTTCAGAGGATTGCCTGACCATGTCGTATAGAAGTACAGAAGCCGATCATGATTTCACGAACGACAGAACAGGACTAAGTGTTTCAAGGGTCGTTCGTGAAATCATGATCGGCTCCTCGCCATACCGATTTACTGGCAAATTCATCACTTGAGAAGGACCACAAGCAATGGTCAAACAGTCGTGATTTTGAACACAAAAATTTGCCAGACACGGTCAAGCAATCCCCTGAAGTTTTTTAATTACTTCTGGCGACTAATAAGATTTCCTCCGTCACAGTTTTTCTTAACTTGGCCGTTGGAAACGTCCAGTCAATTTGCAACTCTTGATAGTCCGCGTGTTGCGCGAGATCAATCTTCTCGCGCAACCACCCCGGACGAAGAGTATAACAGTCGCTTTTTATTCGATCCTCATAAAGAATGAAAATAGGCAGCATGAAAAATGATAGTTTAGCTCACTGTACCATTAACCTTGGATGACATTAGCTTGTTCGGTGGACTGAGCAGCAGGGGTCGATCGGTAGGCGGCGGCGGACCAGGACCGGGCGGGGGTAGCACTACCGTATCCGGTAACGGTGGCCGGGATAGTGTCGTCAGCGATGTCGGCGATTCGTGTTCCAGTTTGAGCTCCTGGCCTACACCGGAGCACGTGCCGTCGAATCGACCCGGAAGCGGCGGCACCGAGCGCAGACGTAGAAGACTGCCGGAAATTCCTAAAAGCAAAAAATGTAAGGAAGGCACCGTACGAACGCGAATCGCGTCCGATGGTATCGTTAACGAGAGATCAGGCCGGTGCGCGCGATTTCTGGGCGCTTTTCACTTTCGGCCTGACACAAGGGCGGATCCGGAACATTTTTTGCGGGGCGAGGGGCGCGGAGCTAGAAATTTATCTCGCAAAATTTGCGGCTGAGACTTGCATGCGTTTAACTGAACTCGCAAAACCTTGGGAAATAAAAAGTCCTTAACACATACGTACATTTTATTTGTAATATCTCAAGATTAAGTTTTTCTTTTGATTTTTGTCCCTTGTCTTGAAAGCCATTTTACCTTAGTGTAAATTTATCATTCTCGGGGGAGAAGCGCACGCCCCCGCCACTCCCTCTGGATCCTTGGCTTGGTACTCGACAGTTTCAATGACCGAACTGTTCTAACTTAACACTATAATTTTTAGAAGAATACAAAACGCAGAACAGAACAAATTCGTCAACATATTTATGATTTATTAATTATAACAATAATAGTGGAAAATGTATCAATGTGGGTGTCCTTCAGCAACGTATTGTCGAAATCTTTTTTCGGAAAGCTAGAATTGAGATCGGTTTCGCGTTGGTATGCTAGATGCAATTTTTGTAGTTTGATGTATGCGTTGAACAATTTTGATTATAATACGGTAAAGAAATCGTAACTTTCGCGATACGAGTATATCTTAGAACCCGATTTGCTGTCGAACTACAATGAATGACAGACAGCTGTGTTATTTTCGTCCTACCGCACTTGTCACAGCGTCGCACATGCATCTTGCATACCGGCGAAACCGAGAAACCGGCCATGTTGTCGCAACCGTGGTGAAAGAAAATTCACTTGCATCACGTTGGTTCTAGTGAAAAGCATCCGAATAGTTTCCATTCGCGGTCATAATAAACTACTCTCTAGATTGCGAAAAATATCACCCTGGCTGAGGTGATATTTTTCGCAATAAATTTCTCTAACTTGAATTGGCTAGTTGTGTCGTTTATTAATTTTCCTACGTAGGTTAATTATTTACTGGCGACAAGGAGTCTTTGTTCTTGTCATTTAGAGAGTATGTTGTCCCGAGAGACGCGCTTTGTCTGAATATTATTTCAAAACCAGACCAAATTCATGCGGTGTAATTGAAATTCTTTGGAGTGTATTCCAAAGTGTTCCAAAACGCAAATTGACGTCCTCCGATGCCGTTTCAGCCTTGCCCATGTGCCAGACGTCCATACAGACGTCGTCCTCGCTGGCAGACGAGTTGAGTGCCGCGACCGGCTCAACATCGGCCCGGCCTCATCTTGTCTTAAGGAAATGTCATCCCAGACTCCGCCACGAAGACAGCTCGCCCGACAGCGAGAGAATGGCCACCGACAGCGGTCATTCTACCGCTCATTCACCCGACAACGGACCCAAAAGCGTGTCGCCCATACCATGTAATACCCTGCAGAACACGGACTCGGCGTCGCCCAGCAGCACCCCAGGTATTAACGATACTTCTCGTGGAGAAATCCTCGAGAATTTTGCTCTTACATCGGAGTCATTAAATTAATCGACTCGAATGCGATATAAATTATAAAAGTATTAAATTTGGAAGTGGTAAGTCGCCAGTAATAAAAATCATACAATCCAGAGGCCTTTTTGCCAGCCTAGGTCGTTTTAATTCTAGATTGTACGTCATAAAAGTAACATCCCCGAATTGCCGATTTAGTAATTAGATATACATATGAAGCATTTATTTAATTTTTACATGTTTTTGACATTCATTAACTTTGTTCCTTTTAATGAGTTTTATTAATTCGCCAAATTTAGGTCTCTAGCTTATTTTCCCGTCGTGCATGGAATACGCAATTACAAAATTCCGAATTAAAATTTACCTAGAACTATGCATGCTTATAGATCGAATTCTTCTGCTTGAATTATAATTCATTATTAATTTTTTGCTGTTAAATAAATCAGGTGTTATTTTTAGACTTTATTCTCTGATGACAAGCAGTATCGTTTAAAAAAATCGCCAGAACATACCGTTGTGCGCAAATATTGTGACGCTTCATAATTTTATACCTCGTTGGAATTTTCTGCAAAGCCACGCGATAATCTGGCGCTCCTATTGCCGTAGTTCGGAAAAGTTACGGAAGCCAGGAATTGTTGTCCGTGTCATAAACAGTGTTTTCGAACTAATCGGAGTAACTCTCGGAGAATCAATACTAGCTCGCTTTTTCATTCCAAAGGAAGCGGAGGCGTACCGTTCACCCAACTGGAACTGCTCGAAGCGACGCATCGAGGCCTGCACAAATTCATATCGCGGCACCATGACGAAATTGATATTGAAATCGGGGACCCCATATATGTGCAAAAAGAGGCCGACGACCTCTGGTGCGAAGGTGCGTAGGAATATCCATTTCGCGAAATATCGAAGTTTACTCAGCTCGTCCCAGCAGTAACAAACTTCCTTCATTTAGCTAATAGAATCGAGCCGATACCTTCAAGTTTCTGACAGTGACTGATATTTCACGTAATAAGCATAAATATGTATAACTTAATTTTAATTCGATCATATAATATTTCAAATGAGTTATTCTCATCATCATCAAACAAGAACGTACTTAATTGGAAAGATGAAGTTGAGTGATTTGCGGAGTGAGAAATCGTGGATTCGTGGAAAAGAGAGAGCAAAGGGGAACACACGAAATTGATGCTACGCACAGAATTATATCGGCAGAATCTATTTTTTTCTGTTTTTCGCATTTAGGTGTAAATCTGAGGACGGGCCGGCAAGGTATCTTTCCATCGGCTTATGCGGTCGACATGGACTACAGTGACTTCGATCCCACCGCGCCCAAAGTGAAGAGGGAGAGATATCTCCTGGGTTACCTGGGATCGGTAGAAACTTTGGCCCACAAGGGTACAGGGGTGGTTTGTCAGGCGGTACGGAGAATCCTTCGCAACTCCTCGCAAGATCCACCCGTCTCCCAGAGCTGCATCTTGGAAGTATCCGATCAGGGTCTTCGAATGGTCGACAGAAGTAAACCGCGAGTAAGTGTCTCCTTGCGATGGAAATTCATTCATGTGCACAATATACGAATTATAAGCATGCGATTTAAAACATAAGTATATAATAAAACCTTAAGTTTTTTGCACTGTATTTCCAAAGTATTTATCACAGCTATAAGAAATTTACAAAATAATTATAGAATTAATATAATTCTCCTGTAAATTTCTCTTTCATAGAAAACATTTACTATTTGATGCGCAAGACGTTAAAAATAACGTCTAAATTGCGCACGATTAATTATGCATGTTAAATTAGCGCAATAATTCTTACGCGTGATGAACTGTCTGAAAGGAAAACGAAAAAGTCGCTTTTAATTGCCAACGTGTTCTTGCAGAAAAGTCAAGGTCCTTGTCACGATTATTTCTACTCGCTGAAGAATGTATCGTTCTGTGCATTTCATCCTCGCGATCATCGCTACCTCGGCTTCATCACGAAGCACCCCACTCTGCAGAGGTTCGCTTGTCACGTGTTCATCGGTCAAGAATCTACAAGACCCGTCGCCGAAGCTGTCGGGTGAGCGTCCTCGGAAAATTCTTTTTTTTTTTTTAATTCACAGAGAACTTGATCCGGCCGCACTTTGCGCAAAATCACGACCCGGAAAAAATTTTTCTCCCGGGGAGAATATTTTCTCGATTACTTTACAATTAATTTCTTTATTACTGTTATCAGTGCTACGTGCATTATCGCATTGTTATACACCTTATACCATTTTATCATATTCAAATATTGCACTACAGCTATAACAATTTAAGACTAGATTACAATTAGAATTTTTTAATTTCTTTTTTTTTCTATTTCTAAAAATTCTCGAGCAAAATGATTAATCCATTTGTCGCACCGCGTGGGCGATAATTCGAGATTGTCTTTTTCCAGACGCGCTTTTCATCGGTTCTACACGAAATTCATCGAGACTGCTTTCCCGATAGAGGACATCTACATTGAATAAACCGCTCTCAGTCTGACTTATAGCGACTGCGGAGAAAATGATACATCTCACTTCCCCCCTTACCCCTGTATATATCGCCCGCTAGTTGTAGATATAAAATAATAAACGCGAATCAAACACCCAATTTATACATATATTGATTATATGTATATCTATGTGTACGGAGCATTTTGGGAAGCGTCACGACGAGCACGAGTCTCCGTTGACAGTCTATTCTCTCGTTGTTGTTTTTTTTTTATTTGCGTTGCTTATTACCGATTCCTTTTGATTTTATGCGCGTGATACGATCCTACGTACATCAATTAAACAGCGGAAAGAAATGATATTTGTCAAATAATACTATACCACTGTAACACTACCAGAATTATTGTCTGCTTTCGTTTCGTAGACATCGTATCGGCTGAAATTGATAATATTTTCATATTATTCTTAACACTTCTTAGTTTCTACTGACGAAACAACGGCAGAATGATACGAACGTAAAATTGACCGAGTAAGTGAAGATAGACGCTGACGCTTCAACAGCTGAGAAGAATTGATCTATTTTCAATTGCGAAGTTTCGTTGCCGAAATTATATTTTTTCACAATTGAAAACGGAACGATTTCTGCAAGTTGTTTTAACCGTTTAACCGCCAATGTTCCCAACCGCACTTCCGATGTAAATTTGAGTCAAATATTATACTTTTCAAACATATACGTATTAATTTTTGAAATAATAAAAATATTACGGCGGATTTGTTGTTAATTCTAAATTTCGTCAAAACAATTTTTATTTGTCGAAAGTAAACATAGAGAGAGTAGAAAATAATTGAAATGTTCATTCCAACGACAGTTTGGCAATGAAATGCGGTTAAACGGTTAAATATTACGACTCATGGTATTATCGAAGGGTATTACACCTTTTTGACTAAACTTCGTTCCTGTTTAAGATCGGAAGAGAGAGAGAGAGACAGAGAGAGAGCACGATATAGTTGAGTCGTGCCGGAAGATTTTGTTAAAGACTTCGTTAATAAGCAAACTTGGTAATCGATAGCGAATTAATTCCTAATACCCCGGCCCCACGACCAAGTTAATCCGCTTAGTAACGCATAGGAAAAGGGAATACGACAATAGAGAATGAGCGTGTTGGATCATTCGGAGTTTAGGGAAGAAATCGTAGCAGAGGTCGGGCGATTTGGGAGAGAGATGTTGCTTAACTTTCGGCGCGTTATCGAATGTGCTTCTTGCTGATGGCGTTCTTCACCGTAGCAACGAATAGTCATCTAGAACGATCTCCAACTGTATTGTTCTTATTGTTAGAGAACGGTGGCCCGCGCGCGTGGGCGCACCGCTATTTAGAAACTCGTATATTTTTCTATTTTTCTTTGCGGCAGAGAGAGACTCACTCCGATCACATAAGTTTCACGAGACACGTCTCCCAAAAATTTGTACTCTTGAATTCCCCGCGCGATCTACGTGGGAGGAGGAAGGAAGAAATAAAAACGTTATCTCGGAACGCACACGAGCCTCCGCATTCGAAATATCACTATTGCGCTGCATCGCGACGTTTTCCAGCGACTTATACGGAATATGAACCAAATTGCAAGTATGTGCAGCTTCGTTAGAAATGTGAGACGATAGGACAAGTAAAGGGACGAAAAGCGATACCCGCCTGCGTGCAATCGAGCGAGACGAGCAGTATCATTATCAACCGACATCTATCGCTATCGATATCCGGTTTTATTCAGTTCGCTATTTCACACTGCCTTTATCAGGACGTTGCGTGCGCAGAGCGCGTGTACGATTTCCCAGTCATACAAATTGCCCATTATCAGTGTTTCTGTTTGGGTTTCCATTAAAAAATTTTTAATATCGCGGCGCAGCTCACCGACGAATGGATACGATCGATCAATAATCCATATTATAATCGACTTTGGTCGCAGTGAGAAAAATTTTCATCGGATAAACTAATTAGTGTTTCCGATTGTTAATTTTTCCGATTAAATTATGGATGCATTCGATGAAATTTGACTGATAAACCGGTCATATTTTTATATAGTTGTTATGTAATTGGATTATCCGATTATATTTAATCGGACATTTTTCTCAGCGCGCGTTGATTATTTTAACAATTTAGTAAAATACTGATGATCTCCAAAATATTATTCTTATTCTGTAGTAACCCCGAAAAGTCTTACGGATTCAAACCATTAAAACCATTTCGCGGTCGAAATCTCGTATGCGATTTCACAACTGGGATCTCCTATTCGCGCCGGCAGAATCTTGTCAATTTACGGACCTCTCCTCGACAATACGAGCTCTGTGCGGTGTCTTACTTGGGATTTGGTGCATGTTATATAAGTACGACTCACACGCCTCGATTATACAGTGTATCGAATAAAAATTGAGAGACAAACTACAGTGATTTATCTCATTTTCGAGGGCTTACATTTATATCCGCGGTACACGGAACGTGCCTTTCATTCGGATCGCCTCGAAATGCCGTGTCTTTTCCGATCATTTTCTCCGCTATTTTAACGACACAATCATTTCTCTCAAATCTTTTTAAGACACATCACCGAATGGAATGCAATGGAAACGAGCGAGAATCTTCAATAAATTTATTTCCGACAGCTCTTCGCCCATTGAACAATTACCGATAGCAACTGGAATATCGATAATTAGAAATATTGATTGGCTGATTTTGCATCGAAATAATTTCGATTTGAAGTTAATTATGTAACTGAGGCGACAAAATCTTCACCATTTTACGTTCGTAAACTAATCGGTTCTACAATTATTTTGCAAGTCTGTTAATTCAATAAAAAGAAGCTCGTGACATTAGCGTTTTGGTAATGCGATACGCTTCTTTGCGAACGAAGACAAGAAGGGTCAGACATAAATCAAACGATGTGATCGACACTTGCACAATATGCATATAATTTCTACATATATTTTCTTCCAGAGACAGTATTATTTACAAAAATGTTTCACCTTCTTGAAGTCTTAATAATTCAGTCTTGACACAATAACTGTAGATGTACTGATCTTCTCTCATTATATTCCTTTATTCGTTACAATTACATATTTCTCTCTTTCTTGCGTATGCATGCGTCTTTTGTTATCTATATATTAATTTAGAGTAAGCCGAATTTACGCAAATTATACGTTGAATTATTAATTTTCTTCGTTTAAAACAAAAAGACCACCTAATCGGGAAAAAATTGTTTCTTATTTACAATTTTCTTTGACGAGTTTTGTCATTTATGTAGTATTTATTTCACGCTCCGCACTATCAATAATTCCCGAGCCGAACAAGTATCCGTATCTTTCTAAGCGACTCGACCATAAACATTTTTATAAATCTCTGCGCGATTTCTTTGAACTCGTTCCACAATGTACACAATGTACATCAACATACAAATCTTCATGATTTCCGTTAACTTTACATTTTCTTGGCAAGAATTATCCACCTTCAACGTAAAGTAGCAAAACAGACAACTAAAATACTTATAGCTGTTTTTAATCCACATACATTGTGTTATGACGCTATAAGCACCATAAGCGCGAACATTAATCTATTTTTACAGCCTAATACAATCTACTCTTTATAAAAAAGTTTGAAATATATTAAAATATTCTGGACTCGTGTACTTCTGGCAATATATTACAATATAAAATAAAAAAGAAACCGTTAGACTCAACATGTAGAGCCATGATGAAATTAGCGTGAGATGTATTATTAATATACACACGCATATACATGTATGTATCCAAGATACGTAAAACAAGAGCTACATGAAGGGGATGATGAAACTGAAATAAAATAATTTAATGGTGGATTTCCTACCGGAGAATGGCTCGCAACGCAAATTACGCGTTCAACGTTCCTCAATAACTCTATCGGAATTTACATAGTGCTTGACAGCAAAAAACACTGAGATTATATATTAGAAAATTCGTCTTTACAAACGTTCTCGCTCGTATAACTATCGGCCGGCTGAGACTCATTCAAAAATAATTCACGTGCCCATATATGGATCGTCTCGTTCGAAATGATAACGCTAACGGGAAATGTCAGTAGCTAATAACGCGTGAGCAATCTGCAGGAGAGGTAAGTATAAACTATAGCTTTTGTTGTTCCATTATTTTTTTACAAAAACCGCTATTCCTTTTATTGTGCACGCAGTATTCAACGAGCCATACACGTCATCGTGAAAATTTACAACTAGTCATACGTGCGTCGGTATGTCTAGCGCATGTATGATCACTATTATTTGTACAATAATAACATTAAACTCATCTTTGTAATCGGGCGAGTAACCGAGCAGCTTACATTCTGTACGCATATCCTGCTCCGGTGCGAGCTTCGCTGTAAACTTAACATAAATTAAGGAGGTAGAAAAGCACATTCGACTCTCGATGTAATTTATAACACTGTTAAAAACATTACGAGCGGGATACCTCTCGTACCAAGAATCTTGAAAATTCTTGCGTCCTTACAAAACAATAGTAACAGTCGGACTGTACAATCTGATGCTGTGAAGATTCAAATGGCATCGACGCGTGCTAGGTATTCTGCATTTAATATATGTATACATATACAGACGCGTACGAGAAGAAGGTGCACAACCACACTTAATCGCCTTCGCTCTTGCACCTTGCAGAAAGAAATTGAGAAGCCACTTACTGTGCAATCAGCAGAATATAAAATATAATAACGTAATGTATATATTTACAGCGGTGTATATAAAGTTGAACTTTATCTTAGCGTATAATGAACCGTAGAGCCGTCTGTGTTGCATTGGTATCCACTTCTTTTCAATAAATATCGAGCAGCCGTCCGTTTTATATATCTCTCTCTTAGTTACCTTAAGATAAAGGAGTTTAGAGGATCTATCCGTCTTTTTCTCAATCCCCGTTTTAACAATATCTTCCGACATGTGCGAGCGTAATCACATACTGAGTTTTTCTGCATACGTAATACAATTATGCATATAATTCCATCTCGGAAAGATTTAGATGCCTCTACTCCATTTCGTAACAATGAACGAATGAATCCTTAAATGACTACAACGCACAGTGTGACATACAAACCGTGGTGACGCTTGGTTGTCCTCTCACAAATTATCGCAGATAATGTAAAATAGTATAGCGCGTATTGCAAAAATTAATCACCGTGACATGTGGATTTTTCAACGACTCTTCGTCAACAATGATTTCTTTCGAGTGATACCCCTCACAAATAATTCCATTAAAGTATTATTGAGCATACGAAAAAATATCAAAGATTGATCCTCAGAAGAACGTCATTTTTATACTGTCATATTTCCCGTTTAAATCCACCAACCTTTATCATTATTCTCTCGTATGTTCATGCGCAACTAAAATATATATTCAAACAGGTTTCGTTTTAAATGCCCGATCATGTAAACCTCTCACAACCAAGCTGAGATATTCAAAGCTACATGACGTGTTAATACCAGTTATCACCGGTTTGACTGATGGTACTATGAAAAGTTAGCTTGAGAGAAAGAGAGAAGAGGATGAGGTACACTGAACACAGACAGTTTAAACTTGTCCTTTGTACTATAAGACCGCGTGAGAAATTGGGCATCGCGGGTGGCCGATGTTAAGCCACCCTTTGCTACCCGTTTTACACGCGGTCGTCAATTATGCGAATGTGAATTTCGTACATACAGGTCGATTAGATACTCCTTTTTTTTCAGCGGTGGATCTCCGCATAAAAACATAGGTTCTCATCGATGATCGAGTGATCGGCACGTGTGAGGATGGTAAAGCCCTTCCACCGATAAAACCGACATAGGGGTCATAGGCTACTTTAAATTTCATAACTCCGGCATACGTAACGATCATAATTATATAGAGGCCCTTTACTGACCGACAATCCTAACTTGACTCACTCGACACCAATGTAACATTAAAAACGAGTTAACGAAACTTTTTACAATGAACATAATGTGTGTATATATGTATATACGTGCATACATACGTGTATATATGTTGTTACATTGGTTCTTTTTACAAGTGACAATGAAATTTCAAATCCCACAGGTAGACGCACAGTAATGGGAGCATGAAAAACTTACATAGCACATTAAGATAAGCAGCAGAACGCAGGGGCCTGAAAAAGTTACATGTATTAAGTCGGTCAAAAAATATGTTTCAGATTTGGTTCGTCCTTTTTAATGTAACGGTAGAAAAAAAAAGGATTTTTGTAAAATCAATCTAATACACAAAAGACAGCACGTGACTACAAGTAACAGATATACATTCTAGATGCTCGAGGAGTAATTCTTATTCGAAAAAAAAGAAAAGGAAACGCTTAGAACGCTGTCGTGATTTGAGATCAGATTTAACATCTTTATTTACAGGGCCAGCCTTTACATTACCTGTACACGTAGGATCCAAATAAATTTGTAGATCTGTTAGGGGCCAGTGCTGAATATGTTGACAAGTGTACAATTTCCGTCACTCTCTTATATTAATATCTTTTACATTTTAAACACTTTTACGATATACAATATGTTTATATTGACGCTGACCCGCGTCATCATAAGTAATCGCTGGCAACACGATTGACTAATATGTATTTTATCTTAATAATTGACACATATGTACGTCAACCGTGTCAACTTCCGCGCAATTACTCATTAATGCGGAGGTCAACTAACGATGAAATAAAAATATCGTTTATTAATATGTATATTTGCGTAGTAACGTGATATTGGATGGATAGCAAGGCCAGTGGGATATAAAAAAATCACTCAAGCAAATTATTGAAGAAACGTATTAAAACTTCGCGTATATAATAAAACTTCACTTATGCAAATCAACTTTTTATAAATAATAACATGAGAATCGGTTAAATGTATTCATTTACACTTACCTTATATCATTACGTTTAACGTTTCTACGTAGCAAAATTAAAATATATTCTCAGCGGTTTTCTATTGCACTTACGGAAACTTGTAGCGAATTCGATTACTTGCACTAGTGCGCGCCGAGCGCACACTAAAGCTTGTTCATAATCAATTCTTATATTTAAGGATCGTCTGAAATACCTCTTGAAATATTTCTTATCCAGTAAAATAATCTGTACAGAATCCGTATGGATCTATTTCTTTTTGCTAAATAGAGTTTATAAACTTGTATTTAAAATTTAAATATAAGAATCGACTATAAACAAGCTTTAGTGTGCACTCGGTGCGCACTAGTGCAAGCAACCAACTTCGCTATTAATAACATTTAGAAATATATTTAGGACTGCCACATTATGAAAGTATTAAAGAGCGTTCTAAAAATACCTGAAGCAGTAATCGTGGCTACGGAAAGAGGGGCCAAGAATGAGATTTAGTTTAAATTATTAAATACTTGTTGCACTTTAATAACACATGAGTGGACTTTCAACTTTCAAACATTACAGAACAATTAAACGCAAGTGGAATTCTCAGGTACGTGCAGTTGTAAAGCTGTCGCACTAAAAATAGAACAAATCCGGTCCATGATGTGGCAACCCTATTGAACATATCCCTAAATTTAGCATTTTGTTCTTCCGCATAAATACATAACAAAATTTACACGATCATTTGTCAAAATAACCAAATTATCTTTTCACATTTTCAGTGACGTCCTTTTATAATTATAAAAAGATGCCAGCACTATGAGTATTATGAATAATCATAGGTTCGCAACTATAACTGATAGATTAAGGAAATAAGTGAGACTGGTTTCGTATCCATCCGATACAAATATGTAATCGCAGAGGTAGCGTTCAAGCTCAACCGGATTCGCGGCGAGTTAGCACGAGGAAAGTACCGCACGCGGCCGTGCTGCGTTAAAATCGAATGTATATCATATATACAAGTTCACTATACCGTAAAATTTGAAAATTGCCAACTGCATAACACTCGATCGCCGCAGGAAATCTGCCTGAGTAGCGACTGTTATTTATAATGTATCAACGTTTTAAATAACAGTATACAATGCGGTTTTGTACGATCTTTGCATAATCAGTTAGTGAGCAAAGCGCGCGTCCTCTTACATGATGGCGCGCGGTAAAGTCCTTAATCCCACAGAGTTAAGAAAACGATAAGGAAAGAAAAAGAATCATTTATACATGCATTGGTCGCTCGATTACTATACGAGTTCTTTTTCCAGTGTCTTCCCACTCGTTTCTTTTCCACTGATCGAGGGAAAACGCGAATCGAAGCGAACACACAGACTGCTTTAGTAACAGGTAAATCACTTGCGGTTAACTTAAGCAACGTCTTGGCCAACGTCCGCCATCTAAATCTCCATTTGTTGCTGCACTGACAATAATTGCCCAGTTCTTCATCGTAAATCTTGATGATGCCGATAATTCCAAAACAAAGAAATCTCAGAAGATAAGTCGACAAGTATTATGCAAATCACATGTGCGGCAATACCGAAAGCTTTGTCTTGGCCTTTCGAGGAAAGGAGAAATTTTAAAGCTTCTTCCTTATCAATTAGAACCATTCCGGGATGTATCATATTAAGCTCGCGTTCTTGAAAACGGCTTCTAAATGACTGGGATACCATCCGATTTTTCAGATCCCAAGCTTCTGGTTGACATTCACTTGCATTTTATAACGATCCTGTTGTAAAGTTTTAAGCATTTGCTTCTGCATGTTGTTCTCGGCCTGGAAAATAACGAACAAATAGTAATCTCAACATATCGCACATTTCTTTGGTACGTACCTGTAACTGTGACAAGTTCTCCCTAACAAGTTTTTGAATACGGAGAGCTGGATTTTCGAGTTCACGTGTCAATACATTGATTTGGGACTCTTGCGATGTCATACTATCCTTTAGCTGGCAATACGTGCGAGTTAATCCGTCATTGACCACTTGCTGCTGCAAATATATTGCGTAATTTAGACTTGCTCGAGAATTACCATTTTAAGAAACAATTTCTAATTATTTTAATTAATACTAAATGACAGTTATTATTGTGTACCAACATCATCGGGTAATAGTTGCATTTTTGCTTCGTTAAAGTCTGAAAGAATACGAATCAGAATTAATTTAACGAACATACATTTATGAAGATATTTATAAACAATATATAAAATATAAACTTACTTCCGTAATCTGCACTTCCATTATGGATACCACCAAATATCTTCATTACAGTTCTGCAGAGTTCTGTAAGAGAACAAAAAGAAAATTGTGACTTTAATTGAGAAATTGAATTTAGCTGAAATTTATGCATATGAATGCAATACACATTCAGTATAAAATGTATCATGTATTATTCAAAGATTGCAAAATGGAATAGCACATTTTGAAACAAAGCTCTTTTAAAGCGGAGATAGAGCAAGAGGCTTTTACAATCCCTTTCTATAAAAGTTACACCTATAATAAAATCAGGAGACTAAAGGTTGCATAAAATTGTTTATCTCCCAAAGAAGATTTGATTTGACTCAGGCTCTAACGCCAGCAAAGAGATTTACCATCGTACTTTACCTGGATTTGCATCCATTTCCGAACATAGTAACGTATCCTCCTGCAACTTCATAAACTGCTGCTCATCGTTATTTGTTAAAACCAGTGGCGCGGTGGGATCTACCAAATGCTGATAGTCGGTTCCGATTTCGTGCAAACTCGAATTAGGTGATTCCGACAGCGATTGCGAGTTGGCGTCATTGTTGTACTGACTGAACTCATTCGAGAACGTCGGACACACAGCCGCGAAAGACCTGCATTTCAAATAGGAAATGCGCTGCTGTTCGTTGGTTGCATTCGACAATGCGTACACATCGTTGGTCCTCTTTTTACTTTGCATCATCAAAAGATTCTCATTGCTACTTATCCTCTTCAACGGACACGGATTGTGCATCTCGATTCTCGACGAGGCGATGGAACTGTCGCTCGCGCTGTCGTTGAAGTATTGCAGCATCGACTCCTGCTTTTCCAGACAATTGAACGTATCCTCGATTCCACGTTCCACCTTGATATTGCATGCAGCGCCGTTGTTCATAGCGCTTGGCGACAACATACTCCCGTTGCACTGGCCGATTCTTTCTTGCGTGTTCAAGACGTTCGCATTTTGAGAAACACGATCCAAACACGATGTGTGATTACGAGGCGCGCGAGGGCTTTTACCAGACTTGCGAGCGGCAAGAACTTTTGACTGTACAGGCCCATCGCCGTTCTGGACATTGCTGTGACTGGGGGCAACGTTCATCATTTCAAACATTGACAAGGACTTGCCGGACGGCATCGCACTTTCCGAGTCCGATATTGGGCTTTGCTCCGCGCTGCTGGAATTAATCAATTTGCCAATCGTATGTTTGGACTCCTGCTTCGGCGTTACTTTGCCTTTGCCTGGGATAACGACGCAGTGGTCCTTCTTATCGACACCAATCTTATTGGCTTGTTTGGTGATCGGGGACATACGAGGAGAGAATACAGCGGGCTTCACGTATTGCGTGCTCGACATCGGTGAGGAAGCAAAGCTGTCCTTCGGTACAAGATCTACCGAGGGTAGATCGCTGATTAGGTGGGTGATGGCATCCTCGAGCTGCGATTTTTCCTCGACGCTATTCGATGGCTGGGTGTTTGAGGTCTAGCAAATCATTTTTTTTCAGAGCGTTAAACAACCTTTTGTTTAAAGTACATAACGATCATATATAAACGAAAGCGTTGCACTACATGTGACTTACCACTTCTATCGGCGAGTTAACGTCGGCAGCCCGAATAAGACCTCTGCTATTTGTGGACATGGACGTAGACAACCTCGCTTTCATCTCTTTTATCAGTTGGATGCCCTCTTCCTCCCTGCGTACAAAATTTCCCTATTGCTATACGTTGTCGAATACGCGAATTGCGACACGATACACCCGATGTATTTGCTCTAGCACTTGAGAAACAAAACCCACGCCTTTTTTTTCCTTGGCGAACCGGGCAAGTGGAAAGACAAGGCAGGTGTAAGGAAATTTGGTTTAACAAATTGTTGCCGCGGTCTCAACACAATTAGTCGGCGGAAATTTTTTGATTATGAGTGGCGATTATTCCACGATAATTAGAAAAGGAAAATAGACTCCTTTAATATTGATTGCTCGTTAATGTCGCTACTCGGACCAATCGGAACCGCCTTGTCACTCGCCCCAATCTGTCCCGAGGTGCGAAATGGTACTTACGACACCATGGTGTTGACACAAACAAAGGATTCCACTATTTGCGAATCCTTATGGTATTCCAAGTAGCCGTGAGTCCGCAAGTAGATGAATTTACCGTTCTTTGTGAGTAGCCTGTAGCACGAGGAGCCGTACGTTTCGGCAAGGTCGTACACTGCGAATGCATAACAAATTGTGATTAATTGCAGAAGCAGAACAATATTTGACTCGTCACGTCGGGCACCAAATGGGTCGGTTTACATACACTTTGTCGCGACATTTAAATTACAATTGGTTATGGAAATAACATGCAAAATATCTCATAAAGCGCCCCGCGTAGTAAAGCCTGAATGCATTAAAATAATGCCGGCGTAATGCATAATATAACATTATTAATGTGACTATTAAATATACGGCGGCACTTTAATGACTTATTCGCCGGGCGTGATAAAAGTAACACGTGTGATGTCGCTCGAATCAATTTGCAATTAGATATTTTTCTTCGAATTTCCTCCAGAGGGGGCGGGAGAGATAATTGGGTATCGTTGCTAAGTGCGACGGTTGCCAAGTGGTGCGGCAAGTATTAATCCCAACGCGAGGGGCACGGCGCTAATTGCAATTTAAACGCTTACTTTGCCGTAGGCCGATCATCGTCCACCTGAAATCATCCTTGTGCATGTAGGCGAACGCGTTCCGGCCCGATACCTCCTCCGACAAGTAGCCGGCAATGAATGACACCCTGTGATCGCAATAAATGATACGCCCGTCGGTCAGGTGCCGCGTCACATACTCGTTTTTATTGGCGTCCACCATCGACAATACGGTCATGGGCCGCATCCTCGGCAGGGTCGCCACGCCGGTGAAGAAGATGTCGTTGCTGGTACACGTCGTCTCTGGAAAAGCCGTTCCAAACGCGCCATCGTTAGCAGGCAATAAAATTGGGGGGTGAAAAACGCTTGTCTCCTGGGAGAAAATTGGACCAATCATAAAAATATTTAAAAACTCGGTTAACTGGTAAAGATCGGGGGAGGTCCAGGTTTAAACCTCTCGGCCGAGGGGACATTCCTCGCAATAAATCCTTCACAGTGATTTAAATCGGATGTGTGCCTCGTTAAACTAGCTTCCGGGTCCAGAGTTTAGGATTGGATCGCGACTATCGGAGAAAACGAAAAGTTTAAAATGCAAATACGTAAATCGTACCTCGCCTCCCTCGAGCGAAGATATAAATTCCAATCAGCTTGCCGAGCCTGTTTAATGCCGAAAAGTGGAAAGTCACGCCGGATGTTGGCTTTCCATTAAATATTCCGGCAGGGAGAGACCGATTGGAGATACGCAGATTGAAGAATTCGCGAATTCGTGATGAGCGGCCGCGAATCTGGATATTCGGGATTGTAATAGAATTCGACGTAGGTCGAAGGTGTCTCTTTGAGCGCCGTCCGTCTCTCTAAACGACATCTCTCGCCGCTCGGCCCTCATCCCGAAGATGAGACGAGACGAGCGAGCGGAGAAAAAGTGAGAACGCTGCGCCTACATATCTTCGTCCGCGGCGAAGGTCTAAATTTAAATACAGGAGTAGCGTAAATATTTGCTATACTCGTTTCGAAACCAGCGCTACAGGTTTCTCAGCCGTGTGTCGCGCGATAAAACACGACCATCAGGTGGAATACGCGCGCGAGAGTCGAACGCTCGGCCCTCACGGGACCGTTGGACATGGGATATGATAATGAGGCACGATATTGCTGATTTATACGGAAGGGACGTCTGCGGTCGCCGACGCGCGGCGGCCGCGATATAGGATTATTCGAGTCGCGATGGGAAACGCGATCGAGTTGTTAGCCGGCGCGGCGACGATAAAACGGCGTAACCGAGAAACCCTCGGGCCGTCTCGATCGAACCGTAATCGGATTAAACGTGAAGTAACGTAAGCGAGATAGTCGCTCGCAATCGGTTCGCGAGGCGCGATCTAAATTACTTAACGGCTTCTCTTTCTTCATCAAGTTGACTCGCGAATCCATTTTCTAGCTCGCGACAACTCGTTAAAGTTTATAACAATTATCCTTGCTGTGCACGTTTCGATAAAGCATTGCGTACAACGGAGCGGAATAACAAAAATCTCTGACATTTGTGCCACCCTGGCAAGAATCGTTCTCAATCGCGGTCGCTTACGCGACAACCTTCCTGCGTATCATGCTCGAAATTATAATTTACGTTTCAAATTATGCAAGCAAATTAGGGTAATGGACCAGGGCACGATGATAAATTAGGTGGCGCAGGAGGGAAGGGAGAAAGAAGGAAGAGCACGACAAAAGTTAAATTCATATTCTGGCTGCGCTCTTAACGTTAAATCCTTTCAGATTTATCTTCCAAAGTTAAATTTGGTCGACGTATCAAACTCCATTTACGCGGCGACGACGAATTTCCGGCTCCTACACTCTCGAAAAGTCAGTCAGTGGATTATCCTTGAAAACAGTGAATATCGCGATATATACAATACGCATCATGTATTTAAAATTTTCAAATGCCTAATGCGATACGAATTAGACCTCAAACCTCAATGTTTTTTATATGAAAATGTTCTACTGCGCAGTTGACAATCCGGTCTGGTATTATTTTGTACGTAAATGCCAATAATAAGATTTACAAACGGACAAACTGTATGCGACTCTGTCCGTAAATCAAACCACCCCAGCATCCCCTCAAGTGATCTCGAAGGCGCGTAACGACTTCCTTCTCGCGTAGTTCTAATCGTAAGCTGATGACGAGGAGGGATCGTGAGGGATCTCGAAGGGAGGTTTCAAGGGTGAGCCAGCGTTTATCGGTGTCGGAAGGGACATTCGGAACTCACCTCGTTGCCTTTCCCTGTTCTGGTAGATGTTCGGGTTATTGTAGATTTCCGCGAGCCGCAGCAGACCGGAAACCTCGAAGCACTCGTACTGCGTGTGGTCGCGCCTCGAGTTGGTGCGCTGCGCTATGTGGATCCTGAAGGTCCGCCTCTGCTCGCAAAAGTTCTTGATCCCGTCGCCCGAGAGCTGGTGACTCGCCGTCGAGGAGTTATCCGAGCAGGAGCTCGAACTGTTGTTGTCGTGCGCCACCTCGGACACCTGGCTGCTCGGCGACGTCGCCGCCGACATCGGCTGCATTCCGTCGGGCGTGAGATTACGCGTGAGCTCGTCGTGGTCCTTGGGATAGACGTAGTTGTACAGGGACTGACCCAGCAGCTCGATCTGCGAAACACAATTCCGAACTTCAGACGCGAGAGAGAGCGGATCTTCCGGTTTCGACGAAGACGTCGCCGCTGGTGTGACCTTTGTTACCTCGTATATGTCCGACGATAAAGTCTAATCTACGATGTGCTCCGAGGGGTAAACCGCTGGCCAAAATCGTGTACGTCGACGCCTACACCGTTGGAAAATTTGTGTTTTCTTGTTTAAAAAAAATGCCGGTTAAAATTTTTGTGTTAGATGTTTAACACATTAACGTGTTAATTCAACGTATTGCTTTTGTGTTAATTGACCTCAAATGTAAAATTGTTAAAATACTGAAAAGAAATGTTGAAACAACACAATGTGTACTTATTTTTTAATCTTACACAATACATTGTTTAAAATTCATTTGTCATAAAAAATGTGTTAATATTTACACGGAATTTATTTCAAATTATTTTGAGATTTGCATTTATTTTGTGCTAAAATATTGACAGAGTATTAGTGCGATCATTTAACATGTCCATATTATGTTAAATTAACACAAAACTTTGTGTGGGCCGTTTGGGACACGTGATGTCTGTTAAATTTAACACAACTTTTACAACTGTGTAGACGTAAAATGCACATTGTAGATCGGGCAGAATACTGTCGCGCGACAGTTGTCCGGTCCCGATGGTATTAAGGGAAAAAAGTAACTGTAAAATTACGGAGAAACTCGCATGAGAGCTTTCTCTTGTTCTTATCAACCGATCGATTTTACTCGCGCGTTTTCGGGATAGATGACACGATTGGGTAGGCGATGCAATACTGTGGAGCGAGAAGAATCGACGTTCCTCCCTCACCTTCGGTAAGACAAATGTCTTCATTTGTTGATTTTTCTACATTTATATTTTGTGTAATATAATTAAGTTACACTTAAAATGCACTCAAGGCGTGATTAAGATACAATTGCGCGTCGTCCAATTAACTTTCGCGGCAGAAATAATTATCTGCCGAACGCTGGTTTTCAATCTAAAGCGAAGCGACGTGTTTATATTCCGTCAATTTTCCATATACGCCCACGGCGCACCTTCGCATATTCTCCGAATAGAAGGCACTTGAAAGTTTCGTTCGCGAGGCCCTCAGACTCCTTCTGTGAAGGGCTCTACACACCGTCAGGCTGGATGATATCTTTCGCGCAGCGAAACGCGTCGTCGTCGTCGACGTCGTCGTCGAGGACGACGTTGGAGGTGTACCACGTCGGCGACGGAGCTCGTTTTCGCGGCAGGAGGTTTCTCCTTGAGAACAATACGCTTGATTGTGAGTGCCTTTTTAAAAAACGAGAGCAAGCCGCAAACTACGCTCGCAAACAACTCGTCCCATCTAGTCCTCCTTTCTTGCTCCTTCTCCGGCTCTGGCGTCTCTCGTACGAGCGGGCCGCGAAAGAGAGACGCGAGGAAGAAAGAGAGGAGGGTGCTACTCGGTCGGCTCCCAAGAGCTGGTTCGTTACGGCAGAGTGGCGAATTATTGTTACGCCTGAATCTGGAGCGTCACCGGCGAGCGCGGGATCGATATAGCGCGCGGGGACACATTTTTTTACATTTTATACACGGCCGTCCGCCTCGTCGTTTTCTCGCGGAAACACGGAGGAAACCCTCAGGGGTTGCGGGGCGCCGGAGGGAGGAGAGGCGATAGCGCGCACATTCGCGGCCCCAGTCTTCCCCCGAAACTGCGAGCTGCGAATCCCGCCAAGTCCGAGCGAGAATTCGAAGCGCGCATTAAAGTCTCCGGGCGGGCTCACCAATTCGGCGCGGATCTCTTTGGGTCTCGATTAATTTTGCCCCCGGACGAACGGGCGCTTCGTCGAGCGTACGGCGATCATCGTAGCGACGTGAAAGTCTTCGTTTCGGCCTTTCTGTCGTCTCGGGACCACTAAACGTCGTGTGGGATTTCCTAGAAGCGTGTTCACGTAAACACGTGCGACCTTGGGCGCAAACAAAAGGGCGATAACCCTAAGTGGCTGGTCAAACGGCGTTCAGAAGCGCGCATTTGAAAGTCCTAGTTCCGGGAAGAGCCTCCCAACAATTCCGGACTTCAGATTGTTAGGATTTCGATACCACTTCGACGTCATTTGTCCAAAGCCTCGTGTCCGCGCCGCTGGAAACCGTCCGAGATCTCGATCCGAGAAATATTCAGCCGATCGACTTGCAGTCTTCATGGCAAAGCTATAATAATATTGCTCGGAGAGAGATCAAGATCCCGGGCCGATTTCTAGTTTCGTGGACCCAAGGCGAGTGTCTAACGCTTATCCTCCACGGCTCAATTCAATCGTACGGACGCATCGCAGACCAGCTGCAGCAGGTCGTTGCACATCAGGGAACGGGATTCGCGAACGAATGATGAAAGAGTGCAAGATCTTTGGCTTTTCCAAACAAGCCATCGGCCAGTCGGGAGAAGAAATGAATTCACGAAATTTATTGATGAATAGAAGCGATAAGTTTACCTTCCGTTCACCTTGTCGTTTCGGGAAGGAGTAACAACTGCGCGAAATGTGTTTGATAGCTCCTCATAAAACCGAGTCTGAAATTGACAGCCAATTTCCTACAGAATCATATGAGAAGAGAAAGGCCGGAATCTCGTAAACGCGAGGTTTCTTGTAATCACTGATAAATAACCTATTGAGAAACGCAAAACGACGCTACAATCTTGCCGAGGAAATCTGATCTCTCGCTCCCAATCCCCGCGACTTTTCCTATCCTAATTTATACGGTTACATCCTAATTTGTACGGTCGCAGGTATAATCTTCCACTCGGCGCCTAATATCAACTACGTCACGTTGTCTCGAATACCTCGTCTCGAAGACCGAGGGGCTCTTACGTCAACGGTCGTAAGTTAAGCCCATATTTTCTTTACCGAAAGCAGCCAAAATTGGTCGTTTAGCTATTTCTTAGCGCTCGTACGAACCCACATAGGCCGCGGGAGGGACTGTATCGCTGAGCGCGGCTCGACGGTGGTCGTGGGAATCCGGGAACCTTGCGAAATCCGAGGCCCGACGAGAGACAGCGGCTTCGTTGTACGCCGCTTGCGGAGGTTCTCTGCTGGTAATTAAAAACGCGTAAAGATCTTTTGCGTTTACAGTTAATTTTCGCATTAATTACTTCGTGTTCGCCAACAACGAACCGAAAGGATCAACGAGTCCCGGAGCCGCGAGGCGTGGACGCGGACGCCCAGGATACCGTTCAACACGGTCTGGCCTGTGTTACGCCATTGACCGCCTTTGTTTTCCAATTTTGACTATCTGGGGATCTCGTGTAGGCTCGCGGCTCGACGTCCAGTCGATAGGTCGGTTATTGACTTGGCTCCTCGCAAACTGCCCGACGAACGGCGCGGTTTCGCACGACCTCCGTCAAGATTGACAGCAACGTAGAAATTCAGACGGTAGGCTCCGATAAGAACACAATGATCGCTCGTAAAACAAGGATAAACTTGACAGCATTCATAAATTTCGTGAAAGAAATAAGCAAGAGAGAAACAGAGAGAGAGAGATCAAATAAATCAATTACGTATCTAAGTCTAAAAAAAACTATTCAGAATAGTTTCAGGCGCAGCAAATTTTTTAGATACCCGTGCAACGCTCCCGGCAAAAAATCGCTTCGAAAATGAACCTTGCCTTTAACGTCGGAGTTTGACTCTGAAATATACAATAGTATCTCTTTGAACGCATGACATTTACCCGCTTCTGCATTTGCGATTTTCAATCCCGAGATAAAAATACGAGGCGCCTCTTGCACTTGTTTGCACTTTTATCATATCTATTTAATATCTCCTCCGTGTGTTGCGCAGTTCTGCATCCGCACGGAGTATACATTATCTCGGCCAGTTTCTTCGAGTTCGTCTTTTCACGGCGCGCCGGAGTCTGAGCGAAATAAGATTATTCTGTCGCCGAGAGAGAAGCGTCACGCGGATAATTACGACGTCCGTCTCCGATAGTCCGGAAAAGCCGGCGCGCCGATCCCGCCGGATGACGACGCTGCGCCAGGGACAAAGGAGCACAGCAGGCAGCAAAGTGAGATTCTCGTTTTATATACGCGCACACGTATATTGCGTATCTCGACACGCGATCGCGCTAATTATTCGCATACAATACTCGTTTAATATCTACGGCGGATAGTTAGCCGGCCTGATTTCATCGCAAGACATAAACGAGCACGCGCATTATTCCTGTAACGTTTATTACTTGATCCTTAAATCTGCCCCCTGGTTAATCGCGTGCACCGTTTTACGTGCCGATCCTCGCGGCGATTTCCCTAATCTTGTCTGGTTAAATTAATATTTTCCGACGAAACAAGTGTCGCGCTTCACGGTACGAGAGTTCTCGCTCGCGCTTCTGGCGAGAGACAGAAACACACACGTCGACAAACATTGGCGGAATAATAAAATAATAATTAGTTTAATATAACTCATATAACTCCTTTGGTTATATAAATAAAACCGTATTGCTATTCTGCAATTGGTGTGATAAAGTTCCATAATCGTATCTCGATGTCGCTACCTCATTAAACCAAATTTCACTGTTCAATTAAATAGAAGACAAAATTTGCATAATATCTTGTTACGCAAAAACGACTTTTTTTTACACGTACATTACGTAGAAATATCCGCTCTGTTATATTTAAATTATTCAAACGTGCCTTCAATCGTCGGGAATTAGTCAAAACAACGTAGATGAAATTCCTTAACATTTCAGCTTCATGTACCATGGAAATAAAATGGATTTCCGCGGGAACTCGCCGAAACCCAGCGCGAGAAAGGGAGAGGAAATATAGTTATACGCACGGGGTTAAACACGTGAATTTCCGGGAAAAGTCGCACGTGGATCCGGCGAATAATTACCAAGCGGGATCATCGCACGCCTCGTCCGCTTTTTCGGTGAAAAAGCGCGGACGCGGGCGGACGTGCGATCTTTCCGCGAGCGATTGCCGCGCGCGGGCAATTCCCGCGTACAAATACGCAAAACGAACGCGGATATTGGCCGGCGCGGCGCGCACGTTTCATTTCGCGGGAGCGAAAAGGAGCGGCAGGGCACGGGAGGCCACCGCAGAGCACGCCGGTTGCCATGGGAGCATATTTGCGTTGCACGCATTCATTTGATCGATAATTCCTAACTCCGCGCGCCACAGGGTAGGTCGGTGCTGCTGCAGCTGAGGCTGCAGCTGCGGCCACGAGATCGCGATCGCTGCCCTGTGCCACCCTCGCCCGCTCGTCTTCTCGGCGCGTCGGCGCGGAAATGCCGTGCGTTTCAACACCGCCGCAATACAAATATGTCGTAAAAAAAAAAGAAAGAAAGAGAGTCCACCCGCAAACGAGATGGGGAATTCCGTGAAATATTGATGGCGCGTAAACAGCCCCCTCCCGTTAAAAAGTTGCGAGGCCAACATTTTCAAACGTTACACCTCGGGCGACGATAAGCTTGACCTTATCATCGACGCGCGAAAAAGCGTATTAATCGTTTCTCCCGTCCAGTGAACGATATTGAAAAGGTGATCGGGGGCGGTTCTCTCGTTCGTATAACGCGCTCGCATTTTAGTAGCGGAAAGCTTATCGCAGGCAGCGAGGAGGAATATTGAAGAGTACACGGTTGATTGAAGCAAAGATAATTCTGGCGATCTCACGATTAATCGGCTTTTCAGTTGCTGCGTGCGCCGGCGGCAAAGGAAGCTTAAGCGATGCGAGCACATTTCGGATATTCAAAATATCGAGATGTCAATGCGATGAGAAATTCGCGATTTTCTTGGACGTCCAAATCATAAATTATTCCCCATGCTTTCGTTAACCCCGCACGCACCTTCGGAAAGGATTTCTGTTACCGAGACAAAAAATATTCTTGACGCATTTATATTTCTCACAATCTCATTTAGTATACGAATAAGACGATATCACAATAAAATCAATAATTCTTATTCTCCTCTGTCGAATTAAAAAAGATTGACTTACTATATTGAGACAAGAGTAACTTTATATTGTATATTCTTGCGTTTAGAATAAATTTTCCCTCCATCTTACAACGCACGAAGTTGGCACCACGAATTTTTCATTTAAGATAAAAATATTCCTTTCTCTATGATAAATATGATTGGCGCTATATCGATCCTATTTTACGATACGTCCAAGTGTAATAGCACTGGATCCGGAAATTTTTTCTATGGGTGCGGGATGCAAAAGCCAACCGGATGTCCTTTAACCTTAGATTCTTTTAAAATAAGTATTTCCTCACCCGGAAAAAAAATACCCGCAGTCTTCGTGCAAAAGAGCTTTCCGGTAAAAACAAATTTCAAGGGAGAACGTCGGCAAAAATAATGGTCTTCGCATTAATGGAGGCGAATTCTCCGTGTCGCATTATGGTAAGGAAAGCTCACCTGAACGTGACCGAGAAGTTGCTCCACATGTCGGCTGACGTAGATGATTTTTCCTGTTGTGGAGACCGTGATGATGAAACCTTGGCCGTCAATCAGATGCTGCGAAGATTTGAAAGACGAGCGTAGAGTGTTGATCGCTTCGGTCGATCTGTGTTAGGGATAAGCGTCGTATACTCACCTCGACAAAGTGCTGCTCGATATCGAACTCGCGAGTTTTTAACATCGGGGGAAGGAATCTCAGCGAGCCGTCACCCATCGCTGTAAATAAGACACGCGGCCGTTAGTAACCCTCTCTTCGCACCTGATTACCGATAATTGTAACGATACGAACGAACAATGAACAGTGGCTCTAGCGCAGTTTACTAGTTTGCAATTATGCTTAGAGCCAGTTTTAAAATAAAACGTAATGCAATGCAACATAACAGATATAATCCAAATCCCCTAACAATAGAACATAATAATAGCAATAAAATATAATCCCGTAATAACAATACCAATTTTGTAATAATAGACTAGCATTATTAGGAGCGATTCGTTACGATGAGTCGTAAAAATATAACAGGTCATTAGGAAAATGATTGATGAGAAAAAGTGTTCCATCAAGGCCGACTTACTGTAGCATGTCCTCAGAAAGGTGGTAGCTAATCTCAGGATGGATATCTTGTCCAGTTTTCTGGAACTTTTAGTAATGCTCGGCACGAGCGCCGCTATTTCCTGTATAGATCCATTGAGAGTGTCGCGGCGAGTCTTTTCCGCTTTGTTCCGCTGTATGCGTGCACTGTTAACAAAAAACGGAAATGCAATTTAGTGACATTCATTGACAAATTAGCGTACAAGATGGACCGAAATAAATTGTTCTATAAATATCTTTCTATTTGTAGAAATACAATACATACATCCCCCCTGTATGCCAATAATGTATGCAAGTGACGCGCTTCGAATTTGCATATCCATCAATTCAGACACGATAAATTCGCCGTATAAAATTTCGTGCGTATTATCATCTGCGATATTTCGCATGCGATATGAAGAAACCAGCTTCGGCTATTATCGAGCAGGATGTCATTGCTTGCGACGACGGTGCACGTTCTCTACACGTAGTACATACAATGCGCGTGTTCATTCCAGAGTGTTTATTAAAAAACAATTCCGAGCATTTATTCGATTTATCAGACGATCTCGACGATACATTTAAATATCAGAACGACTGCGATCCCATGGTCGACGATCGAGAGCCGCGTTAATGCTACCCTGTAAAAAATGAACGGCCAGACGGGAGGTAAAGACTTTCTGTCAAGTACTGACGCAATCCGTAAGAAATAGGCCCGCAATTGTTTAATCTATACTTCGCTGCTTAGAAACGATTTAAAAGTGAAAACAGGATGCACGAAGTCAGCCTCTCTTGCTCTTTCAGTGGCGTCTGGAAATCGATTGGAAATCGTATTTGAAGTACGTTTCAACAAATAATTTTATGTATTAAGGCTGTGCATATACACACGTCATGTGCATCAAAATACTTTGACAGTATCAGCTCTATAAATAAGCACACGTGTAAGATATACGCGCGATTGTTTATTGGAGAAGACACATACATATATGAATTAGCTATGTCGTCATGGTTATATGCCATGGCTTTATTTCTGTGCATAATTGTGCAATGGTATACCATTTTATTGTGGGAAACACTGCGGGTAATAAAGAAGTTACGGCTTCTGCGTGAGAGACTGATAATTTAAGACACTTGTTATGGGAGATGAATCACGGATATGTGTACTTATATGCAATTAATTAGAACCTATTGTTCATAATGTTTATATATATACTCGTCTCTTTTTACATTTATCATATAATTACGATAGAACTTATGTTTCTTATACTTAGACTTTAGCAGTTATTACAGAAGAATATTATATTTATTAGATATAGCATTTAAAATAATTAGAAACTGTTTATCGATTTTAATATGTGAATTCTCTGACGACAATGATTCCATCTAAATAAAACTGCGTTACGTCCGAAAAGAAACCGGCGCAGGACAAGGTGGAACAAGCGATATATGAATTCACATTTTAGACTACAATTTATTGGACTACCAACATCTTGCTCGGACCTAGAGGCGCTCTCGCTTGTTTGATTTATATATTATTATTGTTGAAGAGGGAGTGTTGCTTTTCCTTACAATTTACATTTTGTCACCACTTCTAATTACATTAACTACGTGAGAAATTCTGAATATCGTTGAATTTATCACAGCGAATTTAGAATAATTGCTACGCCCGTTTCTACAAATGTAGATTGAACTTTAATCTCGGTTTAAATGACTTTTTATCTTTTGCTAGCTCGTGAAGCTAGAAAAAGGTATAAAGTAAGTTGAACCGAGATTAAAGTTAAACTGCACTGGTGGAAACAGGCATTAATCTTCGATAATTATCAACCTCGGAGCATAATTGAGGCTTCTGTTCCTCAACTATAAGCACGACCTACAATGTCAGTACTGAAAAATTATATAACTTTTCTTTATAATACACATGTAAATTAATTTCCTCTCCTTGTGCATTGATAAATACAATTATGTTCCTTCAGTGCATCGTATTATATACATCAATATGAAACATTCTAACATACACGCGTCTGCTCGTACATACCATAAATATATGTAATATTGTAATATATGAAAAATATACTACAGACCGGTGCGTGCGTAATAAATGTTTAATATAATGGTTGCATAATAAATTATAATTGTATTAATTAATAATATGATTGTACTAATCCTTTAAGCCGGGTGGATATTTTCCTCCGCTTTTCGAGGCAATTTAACCTTTAGAAATCAGGTGAATTTTGTACTTTGTTGGAAAAAAATTTTAATGTATACTAATAAAGTACTATCTCGGGGGGGAAAAAAAGAACTGAAACCAGACTAGACCCGAAAAATGGACCTGCCTCTTTCGAAAGGTTAAATGCGTACGAGATAGGTCTCTCCGGGGGTCCGTAAATTACAAAAGGGATCAATAATTTCTTCGAATTATTCGGACGATTAATCCCGCGTTGATAGATTGACACGTTGATGGATTACTGTAACTTAAACGCTACTTGTACGCACTACCATTATTGTCAGCTTGCGTAATCGGATATTCAAAAGAGAGAATGACGTATATTTTTTTCGCGCCAATTAACATATCATCAAGTACGATCTGTTATGTAGTATACACGTACTGCACAGTTGACTCGTTTGGTCGACTATGGTGCCTGTTCGATGCGCGACTTAGGCCCGGTTTCACCAAACATCGCTTAACTTTAATCGTGGTTTAAATTCACGTTTGTCTCTTTCTAAAGTAACAGCTGGAAAGAGACAGAGAACGAATTAAACTAATAGCGAATTCGGTTGCTTGCACTAGTGCGCACTGAGTGCACATTGAGTGCTCGTCAATTCTTATATTTAACTTCGTCTTAAATACACGTTGAAAAAGTGTCAACTAAAAACATGATCCGCACGGATGCTTTACAGATCATTTTACTGGCTAAGAAATATTTCAAGGCAACCGAATTCGCTAATAAGTTTAAAGTTAAGCGACGTTGATGAAACCGGACACATAAGTTTTGACAACAATTTCCTTATGACTATCTTTCACAGGTTGTAGAAACGAGTGCGCACGTCGCGCGCGAACCTATTCGGAACAATATGTTGCTGATTTATACGTTGCATCAAACACAAGTGTTTGGAAATGACGACCTGTTGCTCGTCCGTGTACACGTATGAAATGGCCGCGGTGAGAAAAGCGTGCGTTCGCGGCATCTTGACGGCACGTGCATCTACGACTCTAATCTTTTTGCCCGCGCGACGAAACAGCTTATATAACAGGGTCGAAGCAATGACGGTTTTAACCCCCCCAATAAAACTCTCCGTTACGACCAAACTGTGAAAAAGACTGTAAAATAAATATACGAAAGCGACGCGGCAACTTCCAGCGGTGCCGCGGTCGGACACTTAAGCCTTCGCTTTAAATCATCAGCGTTGACTGATCGCTTCTTTGGCACCGCGCGCGTCACACGGACATATATTTTTGTCACCGAGAGAGAGAAAGACCGGCGGCGTGGACGGCAATCTTGGGCGGACAATCGACAAATATACGATAGTTATATACGCCGCTACGAATATACATATAATGTTACAATGTGGCGTCTAAAAAGGATCAAGCACATTGTTGGGACGCTATGCGGAGCACATTCTCGGCCACAAGACAGTTATAGATCAAGGCTAGCGGTGTGATTTCATTCGATTTACGAACCGCGTGCGTGCTCTCCTCCCCAGAATCGCGGCCCATGTGTCTCTCCTCGTCGGTAAATCTCTCGATCGCCCGCGAAAAGTCAGATCTAATTGGTTTAACGCGCACTGAATTAATTCGCCGTCCGAAATATATATCTCGCGCGACCCTTCCACCCCCGGGGACACGTCACCGGCAATAAACAATCGGCGCTTTGGCGTATCCGCCGCTGCGTATCTGGCTGAGTGCCTATTCGACGAACTCCGGGTATCTCGTGTCGGAAAACGGAGCGTGCTGTTAACGTTGACAAACGATACCGCGGAGACAGCCCGAGAAATGGACGGAAGGGCGAGGGCGAGGCGACGAAAAACGCCACTTAGGACCTGCGCGCCGCGTAAATAAAACGACCCGCGATCTGTCGCGCGATCGTTAATCCGCGAAGAAATGAGAGATAAATCGATTATCGCTCGTACTCGCGAGTGGAGCTCGATAAGAGAGTTAAATTAATAATGTACCATCTCCGACGATATTTGCAAATTTCAGTGGCACAGAGCTTGATCGTAAACGTTAATGCACGGGTGCGGTAACGCATTAACGCATCCGTGCATTAACGTTTATGACTAAAGGATGTTTTGTAAACGGTAATCCCTGAAAATCTAGGAAGTGTTATAGAAATTGAACATCTATTTTGTTGATTATCGCTGTTAAGTGAAGAGGATGCGCGCGTTATACAGTTGATTGAAGTATAGCATCGATGACGCAGATTACACTAACGTGAAATGCCATTCAGTACACAGTGTGTCCCATTTTAATCGATCCGCATGAATATCGTTAATATTATCTGCGTATCCAAAGCACTCTGGACAAAAGTCGAAGGACCTCGGGCAAAATATTGCGTGGCGTCAGTGATTTTCACAGCGTGTCGGACAATAGAAGCGTCCGTCAACTTTTAATAAATTAATAATGTGACTTTCGTAAAATTCGGATGGATTACCACATGCATTTGCCAAAACTGAATCGTTAAAAAAAAACAACGCGTAGTTTTATTAAAAGGACAGCGCGACTAGCGAACGACGATTTATTGATTCACGTAAGAATCGGCGAAAGATTCCTCTTCAGCGTAAACAGTGTACATTAACGGTGCGCGATTTCCAAGACCAAATGTTATCCGCGGTTTTACACAAAGCCGCGATTACTTTGGATAATTACTCCAACGGTGACCTTGAGTCACGTTATCGCGCCGATAACGCCGGTCAAGATTTCGCTTTAACTCTTTGATAGAGTCGCGATTGAGGCGGCCGAGGGATAGCGGCCTCAAGAGGCAGAAACAGGATAAGGACAGGATAAGAGACGGAGATAATTAATCCAATTGGTAAGCAGAACCTTGTCCTAAGCGAGCAGGCATCGAATTTTCGAGTACGTGTGCACCGCACACATTATCAAGTTGCGCAAATTCTATTCTCGTCTCCGTGCGGCGATAACGGCGATTAGATGGACGTCACAGGCTCCTTCT